TATATATATATATATATATATATATATATATATATATATATATATCGTGTGTGTGTGTGTGGGGTCCGTTCAATTCAATATGTTGTTTAAATAAGAAAGTGTGATTTGTAAATCGATTAATGGCCATGCATTTCCATTACCTACAACTGGAGAGCCCTCTTCTCGTTACAGTTTTTTTACCAAATTAAGAACAAGATAATTTACCGTTCAATTTATTAGTTTCTTTTTTATTTTGTTTCCTTTCTATTTTTAATTAATATTTACTGCCAAACACAAACAAATCTTGGGTTTTCACTCCTTTTTATTTGCTATTTCGCCTTCTAGTGTTTTTCCCTTTTCTTTCTCTTCGACCTCGTCAATGAATTCTAAATTCATATTACTCGTTTTTTTCCCCATTTGAATCAAAATGAAAATTTTCGAATACTCTTTCCGGTCTTAATTTTTTTTTTCCTCGTTAGATTTGTTACCTCATTTCAATTCTGCGGAAAAAAAAAACAGATAAAAAGAGTTGATTTTTTTATATAAGTTTTTTCGTGGAGGGAGGAATTGTTGTTTGTAATCAATTATAATGTCGAACTACAAGATGAAGAGCCTCTTGAAGGGGCTTAGGTACATCTCTCAAATATTTGGTGAGTTTTATTTATTATAATTTCCATTTCGAGTTCATATTCATATATGTTGTATCGTTCCGTAATTTGAAAAATTCACTCAATTAATTTTTATTTAATATTATTTTTTGTTTGAAGAAAACGAAAAAGAACCAGAGATGCAGATCGGAAATCCGACAGATGTAAAACATGTTGCTCACATTGGTTGGGACGGAGGCGCCGTCGACTCACCCACCTGGGTATGTCAAAATTAATTCGTGTTGTGTTATATTTAATTTAATTGGTATAAAATAATATAGAAAGAATATATTATTTTCATTATTGATTAAATATAACTAATTGTGTTATATATATATAAATAAACGAGTTGTTGATGTTGATGTGGATGTGGATGTTGATGTGTGATGTAGATGAATGGTTTCAAGAACCACCCGGGTGGATTTTCCTCGGCGCCTCTCGGAGACATTAAAGAGGATGCTTCGTGGGTGTCCGAAGGTACTTTTTTTTTACTCCTTTTTCACCCTCTTAATTTTTTAAACGACAATTAATTTGTTTTTTTAGTTCTACCCTCATGGATATTAATAATAAAGACGCCCCTCTAACCCATTTTCTTGTTTTTAATATATATATATATATATATATATATCTAATATTAATATTAAATAACAAGTAAATTATCCAAAACACAGCATAATTATTAGGGATGTTAACGAACCATATCGACCAACTCATTTTCAGTCTAACTCGTTAAGACCGTTTTTTTCATACCAAGAAATTTAAGATTCGAATTAGATCGCTAGAATTCGCGAGCTAAAAAAATAAAAACAAAATAAAAAAATATTAATTATAATAAAAAATATTATAAAAATAATTAATATATTCTAAAATAATAAAAAATATTTAAATTTGATATAAAAAATTTAAAATTATTTAAAAAATATTTAAAAAATATTTAAAAAATAAAAATAATATATTTTTTTTTCTAACTTGTGAGCCAATTTGCGGGATCACCGAGCTAGCTCGCTATGAGTTGAATTCGTGGCGAGCTAGTTCGTTTAGTTCGTTTTTTTTTTCGGATTCAAAATTTATCAGATAAGATTGGAAAAATATGGATTGATTTACGAATTGAGTTATGAGGCAACTCATTTTGACATCCCTAGTTATTATGCATCAAACACAAAATCTTGATTTTTTTACAATATTGAGTGCAACATATATGATTATTTGGGTGATTAACTAATTAAAATCAATAAAATAAAAATTTGTAGAGTCGACAAGGTCAAGGGATATGCCGGGAATTCCAAGATCGTCGAGGAGCCACCGTCCATCAAATCTGGGATCTCCGACAAAATCTGAGAGGTCGTCGAGACGTCGTTCGTCCAATCCGGACGGCCATTCCAAATCTTCACGCAAATCCAAAGATTCTTCCGACATTCTCCCCGACGGTTCCAGAAAATCCCGGCGGAAAAAATCAAAAGATTCCGCTAACGGTGGCGGCGGCTCTTCCAGATCTTCCCGAAGAGCTCGAGATTCCACCGACTCCATGTCCGTCCCTAATTACGACGAATGATTACTCAGTAATTATTTATTTTTTTAAATTATTATTGTTGTAACTTCATGAGGACATGCTCTACACACTTTATGAGTACTACTAGATGTTAGATTCTTTTTTTGTTTGTAAATTACTGTTGTGGGATTATTGGCGGCTTAAAAAAAATAATTTTGTTCTGCTTGGAGATTTCACTTTTATTTCCTGTGTGTAATTAAATTATTTATTTAATATATTTTGTTGGTTTCGTGTGTGTGTGTGAAAAACAAAAAAATATCTGTGAATGGTAATTTTATTAAAATGGCCAATGTAAATGTTTCTAGATTCTAGCGGTAATTTACGGACGACTATTTTCGTTTTATGTTACTATTTAGATAAATTTTTCATTAAAAAAAGATAAATGTATTCACGACGACGGTAATAATATACTTCCTCCGTTAGACGTTTTAATTTTTTTCACAAGAAAAAAAAATCATATATACTCTTATTTAAAGCTGAAATATAATTAATATTGACTAAGTTTTATTAAAATTGATTAGTTTAAATTGAGGATAAAATTGAAAATTATTTTAAAAAAATTATCTAAAAAATCTAAAATGACAACCATTTTGAAACAAAAAAATTTATTTATAACATCAATTATTAAGAAACGGAGGAAGTATAATGGTAAACAAAATGGGGGACATGTTTGAATATTCTTCTCATTCATTGTGCCAGTCCAATATAAATATAATGTATTAAATTCCACAGCCAACTGTATATAAACATTCCAAAAATTAATACACCTGCTCACAAGTGGTAAATTTATTAATTATGCATATATATATATATATATATATATCAAATAATAGAGGGACCATTTATTGGTCAAACTCAATGGGTTTCTCTAATTATTCATTTATAAGTTATAGTCCGAATTATGTTGGGGATCAACCTCTTTGATTGAGGTTTTATACAAAACCTAAAATTTGGTAGCCAGCGAGAGGGGACAATGTACATAAAATCACATAAAAATCATACTCTTAACACATCAGATCAAGTTGGATAGATCGTTATGCTGTCTTATCTACAATTATTACCAAAAACCATATTATAAAAACAATTACATGATTTTTGTATATATTATATTGTTTCATTTGATAAGCTGATTGGAACAACTGGATATATAATCAACACGAGAGACCCTCGGTATGAGACAAAGGCGTTGACCAGGCCGGTTCTATCCCAATTGTACGCCAACGTTGACAAGATACTTAACGATGACCTCACGGCGTCATCACCACTCCTCTGTTTACCCGCTTGCGCTGAACCGAACCGAAGATTTTGTTGACCGATTCCTTTTGTCTCGTTCCCCTGTAAACTATATTCAAATCATTATTGAGAGGGAAAATTGGTGATGGACGCGCATGAACCGAACCGGACCGGCCGTTAACGCGGAGGCTAACGGCGTTTTCTCATTGACTCGAACTTCTTTCTCTCTCTGACTAGAGAGAGAGAGAGGAGAGAGAATATGTGGAAATGGCGTCTGAATTCTTTCCTCTGATAGGGCTGACTGTACATATAGAAAGGCTCGACTTTCCATTTCGAATCTATTATCGGATCTTCCGCCGAAAGTTTGCAGTTCATAAAGCCTCTTCTGTTCTTTTTCGAATCTTTCGGCGAAAGTTTTGGCATTTCTCTGTGATTGCTCGGATTTAAACCCTCCCCAATCGAAATCGTGAGAAATGGCTATGGCGAGTTTGTATCGGCGTTCTCTTCCTTCGCCTCCGGCGATAGACTTCGCTTCTGCCGAGGGCAAGGTAAGATCCAATTTGACTTATGGACTGACTCAAATGAGAATTTCGGTTTTCTAGGTTTTTGTTTGGTCTATGATCTTCCGGTTCTGGTTGATCATGATCTCCGCTACTGATTTTTGTGGGGTTTTCCATGTGTTTGGTTGTAATTCCGTATTATATTGCAATTTTGGGAAACGTTTGCAACAGATTATTGAATTTATACACGCTTTCCGTGGATTTGTGCCTTGCAAGTTTGTATGTAAGGTCTGCTCTTTTTATCTTGGGTTCTGGTATGAGTTTAAAACGTGGGGTTAGTCAAAAACTGTCTTGAACGTTTCCAATTCGGATGTTTTTCTTCAGTTCAGGGATACATGCGTGTGTGCCACTGAACTGTGAATGAATTATTGTCTGAATTAGCTACATGAACGAAAGGGGCCTGCTGCTTGTTGGTTTTAATACTGGTGCACATGATCTTGAGCGATAAACTTTCTTTTTGTGTTGTAGCAAATCTTCAATGAGGCGCTTCAGAAAGGCACTATGGAAGGCTTTTTCAGGTTGATCTCCTATTTTCAGACGCAGTCGGAGCCTGCTTATTGTGGCTTGGCCAGCCTCTCAATGGTTCTGAATGCTCTTTCTATTGACCCTGGCCGAAAGTGGAAAGGTACTGCGTTCATCTTCCTTTGGACACTTACTAAATAAGCAACATGCCCTCTTTGGTGGGTTGTAAAATTTGTGTTTTTTTTTTCCGTATAGGGCCTTGGAGGTGGTTTGATGAATCTATGCTGGACTGCTGCGAGCCACTGGAAATAGTTAGGGACAAGGGCATTACATTTGGAAAGGTTGTCTGTTTGGCTCATTGTTCAGGGGCAAAAGTTGAAGCTTTCCGCACAAGTCAATGCACCATCGGAGATTTCCGTAACTACGTGATAAAATGCTCAACTTCTGACAATTGCCATATCATTTCATCGTACAACAGAGGGGTATTTAAGCAGGTAACTCCTTCATCTTAACTGGAACCTATATTTATCTCTGTTTCTTATAACAATAGTATGGCATCTAAGTAATTTTACTTCTCTTGGCCTCCATAAGTTGGGCCTTTGTACTCTAGACTTTTACAAAGTTTGGGAGAAAATGAGCACTTCCAGTGTCTTTCCATTGAGCGCCAAGTTGATTGGGTTTCTAAAAAACCTTAATGCAGACTGGCACTGGTCATTTTTCACCTATCGGTGGCTATAATGCTGAAAGGGATATGGCTTTGATTCTTGACGTCGCTCGTTTCAAGTATCCTCCTCACTGGGTTCCGCTTAAACTTCTTTGGGAAGCCATGGACAGCCTTGATCAGTCAACAGGACACCGCAGAGGGTACATAGTTTTTCTTATTTACCTTCTCCTATAGAATACGACCGGAAACATGATATTTTTCTTTTGCTCAGCTGTATGTTCTGTTTTTCTTACAGGTTCATGCTTATATCTAGGCCTCACAGAGAACCGGGATTGCTTTATACTCTGGTAAATGTCTTGATTCTATGCAACCTTCATGTTAGCTTCCACCTGAACACAACCCCACCAGGGACACCACTTCAATACTATTACATTAACCTTTTTCTTATAAACTCATGAACTTTTGTGCCTTTTTTTTTTCATGTATCATGTAATAATACTCTATGAGTTGTCAACTAAATCGGAGTGATGATGATTTTGTCTTATTAATTCCAGAGCTGTAAGGATGAAAGCTGGCTCAGCATAGCAAAGTATTTGTCAGAAGATGTTCCGCGTCTTGTAAGCTCGCAGCACGTGAATACTGTTGAGAAAATCCTTTCTGTTGTCTTCAAGTCACTTCCATCAAATTTCAACCAATTCATCAGATGGGTGGCTGAGCTTCGGAGGAAGGAGGATGTAAACCAAAATCTTAGTGCAGAAGAGAAATCAAGGCTTAACTTAAAGGTTTGTGTGCTCTGGACTGCAGTTACGTGTTAGAAGAAAAAGTTCGTGCAGATATAGATTATATAGTTGGATCCAACTCTCCTAAATGTTGGTTAAGCGAAGTAATTTCCCTTTCTAAATCTCACTTTCCTTGTGATGTGTCTATCGTTTTAGTTCGAAGTCCAGCCACATTCTTTCCTCCCTAAGAAAATTGTAGACTTGACTGTCTAACCTCGTACTCATGTAACTGCAGCAAGAGGTACTGAAACAAGTACATGAATGTGAACTATTCAAGCATGTGAACAAGTTCTTACCATCTGTGGGTTACGAAGACAATCTGCCATACGTCGCTGCGAAGGTCTGTTGCCAAGGAGCTGAAGTTTTATCTGGCAACATGTCAAAGGAGTTTTGTTGTCGAGAAACGTGCGTGAAATGCATCAAAGGTATGTTGGTCCGGATAACTTGATTATTTGTTTCTTCTTCGACTAATATGCTTAAATTGCCATCATAACACTGTGCCCTGAAACCCTCCGTTTGTTATTCCATCTCCTTATTGTTGTCTGAAGCAGTTGAATAAAAGAAAGGAAAAAAACTAAATGAACGGGTTCGGGTTGCTCTATCAGAACTATGCGTTATGAGATTGATTTCACTTCCTTGATTCAAGGTAAGGGAGAGGAGGCTGTCACGGTGGTGTCAGGGGTCGTGGTCAATGACGGGAGCGAACAACAGGTTGACCTTCTGGTGCCATCGACACAAGCCGATCCAACATGCTGTGACTGTGGTCCAGAGTCGGTGTACCCAGCTGGAAACGATGTGTTCACGGTGCTTCTGATGGCTTTGCCTCCGCAGACATGGTCTGGCATCAAAGAGCAAACCCTTGTGTCCGAAATGAAACAGCTCGTTTCAATGGTTAGCCTCCCCACATTGCTTCAAGAAGAGGTAAATAATTAACTTACTCTGAGTATCTTGGCAATGGCATTAGTTATCTCGTGATCTGATACCTTCGAATTATATAGATGCATAAGCTCCAAACCCACGTAGAGTAGAAAATCTCTAGGAAAATGCCCTGAATCATTTACTAAATGGATAACGAGAAACTACCAATAAGCTTTTTCATGATATATATATATATATATGGTGACAATTTCATAAGAAGCAGTAAAAGAGAAAAGTGGTGGTGGGGATGAATTTGCAGGTGTTGCATCTGCGTCGACAGCTTCAGCTGCTGAAGCGTTGTGGAGAGAACAAGGAGGAGGATGACCTCGCAGCTCCTGTCTATTAAAACCCCCACCCTCCCCCTCCCATCTGGTGATTGATACCCAACCTTATTGTTTTCTTTTCTCATTGTGGAGAGAGATTTATCCTCCCTCCCTCTCTCTCTCTATATATATGCTTTCATATGGTGGTTTATGTAAAACTTAGGCAAACAATTCTCGAGAAATAAAATAAATTAAAGGTTTTTTTTTCTTTCTAAATATTGATTTCAATATCTGATGTTTTTATATATCCGGCACATGCTTGAGGTTTTGTTTCACAATTATAAGACAGCCTCTCGTCGGTAGGGTTGGGCACGGGTCGATATCCGCGATTTTGGAGATACTCATTTTCTTCTTCGTTTTTGTAGGTTTCATGAAAACAATATCTCATTTTCTATCTCATTAACATCGGAAACTCGTCGACCGGATATCCATGACTAAGAGACGGGTATCTGTACCCGTAAAATAATTTTTTTAAAAATAATATAAGTAAAATTATATTATTTAATTCAAAATATGTTTAAAATATAAAAAATTATATATCTTTGATATATATAGATTTATAGAAGTTTTTTAAATATATATGTTAATTTTTAAAAGTTAAAATCTAATATTTAAATAAATAATTTCTTTAAAAAAATATATGGATATTTGATCATTTTTATATATTTACGGGTATCCATGAGTACCCGTTTTGAGAAAATAAAATTCGTACCTGTCTTCGTTTTCAACTTCTTACACTCGTTTTCGTCTTTATTCAGAGTTGAGTACTTGTTTTTCGGATACCTACAAAATCGGATACCCACGAATCCACAGATAACGGATTTAAATATCCAATTTACTGATCAGAAAAGCTGATTTTTTTTAATATCCACTTATAATTATACTTGAAATATTATTTTTATCCTCCCTCGAAAATGAATATATATATATATATATATTCCTTTTTTCGGAATCCCCCTACATATTAATATTATTTAATAATGATTATAAATTTATATAATAAAAATACTAATAGTAAGATTATTTAATGATTTTAAAAATTAAAATTTTATATAATAAAAATGATTTAATAATAATTAATAATTAATAATTAAAATAAAAATAGATAAAATAATACATTGATTAATAATTGTGCATTCTCTTTTAAAAAAATTATATGTAATTGTATGCTTAAGAGCGAATATTATCTTAAAATTTTATAAATGCAGTATATTTAATTATCAATAAAAAATATACTTGAGTTTTTAAAATTTTAAAATAAATCTTCTAATAATTATGATTTTTTATAAATATTTTTTATAAGAGTTTTATTGATAGATTTGATTTTAATTTATTTAATACCGACTTATTGAATCAATAATAACAAATAATTGTTATTGACTTCTATTTTATCATGATTATAACATTTTAATAATTATATCACTATTAATGATTTTTAAAAAATAAATAAATTTTGGAACATTGTGCATTACATTTTTCCATCATATATACGCCATAGTCCAAAACCGGTTGCTATGAAAAAAGGGTTAATTTTCTATACGAGCTTGTGATAAATCCTCTCTTATTTTCTGCATAACAAAATTTCGAAGGTAATTTTTTTGGTCGCCGAAGGTAAATTTAAGTACTACATTTATCTTGGAAAGAGGAAGGTTGACAGTTACACAAAAAAAAAAAAAACAAAAAAAAATCAAGAAAACAATAGAACGATAAAGTGACAAAAGCTAAAAACATAAGAAACTCTCACGCGCTGTAATTCTAAATTTTCGGAAAAAAGCCGAAATCGGTGGACTATAGTCCGGCCGTTTTGGAGCGGTGACGTCCACGCGCCATGGATGCGAGTGGTACAAATTCACGTCGCGTCGGAAACAGTGAATCGGATTGGACCGCATCTAGCTTTAATGGGCCTAATACAATTGGGCCCATATAATCTTTCCCCTCCCCTTTTTTCTTCTTTCTTTTTCTCTTTTTCAGGTTTCACAATCTCTCACATTGGTTAGTTGACCATTTACAATTATATTTATAAGAAAGATTTTGCCAATTTAAATCGATGTATATACGGTACGTAATCACAAGATCACCTGGATCAATTTTAACAAGAAACACATAATCACGAAAACATTCAATAATCAAATCACATTCTACGAATTATTATCATCCACAGCGCTTACGCTTTGACTGTTCAGTTCCAACTATTATAACGATAATAATCTTTGCTAACAAATATTTCTCTGGATGAGAAAAAAGAGAAATAACACGGAACAAAAGTCCACCCGTACTCTACCAAAAGCCTCTTCTAAGTTCGTTTTTGTTGTACATGGTTCTTCCTTTTTCATTATGAAATAGTGTTTACCAAGAAAAAATATATACAGACGTACATATATATATATATATATAGAGAGAGAGAGAGAGAGTTTCAACCTGGAAAACTATGAAACACCAAGAACAAAAAAGGACAAAAACTTCACATGAAAGAAGGCTCTTTGGAAATAAAGTCCATTGTCGGAAGTTTCTGGAGGCCGACCGCCGACCGATTCTCAAGTCTCTCGCGGATATTGTGAGCCATTTCTTCTTTCTTCTTCCCCAAGAAAATGACAGAGGGAACGCCGATTCCTGAGAAAGAGATCACATGAGCAGCAACCCACTCTTTTCTCAATATGAAATGAATTATAGCTTCTTTTTCTTTTTTGATGGCCAAATGCCACCAAAAACCAAAGAAGAAAAAGAAGATCCAATCTAGCCTCTCTTTACATCAAAGTGTAGATACTAGAGACTGATCCACACACACACACACACAAAAAGGAACTGAAGAAGCAGAGGAAAAACTCTGATCACTACTGCTGGATTTCTCAACGAAAACAGCGTTACTTGGATAGAAGGATACCGTCGACTTTTCAGCTATCAGCTCCCCTCCTACTCTTTTCTCATGGAAAGCAAAACTCACTCTTGGCAACATGTGCAAGCTCAGTCCTAATTCTGGTGGGTTCTTGACATTTTTCCTTATCTTCTACAAGGTTAGTTATATATCGTATATTGTTAAAGCACTGCCTAGAAGCCAAAATCAGGTTCCTTGTGCCACCAAATTCAACAGACTTATCTATATCAACAAACATGCATTTGCAACTTCACATACGCATGCGAATTCAGCGAAACCTTACCTTTCTAAGGGCTAAAATGGGTGTTCGAGAGGTTCATCCCATACATCAGCACTTCCATTTGAGACCTCTTCTACATCTTCCTCCATTGACAACCTCACGTATTCCCTCTGCGCAAACCTGTCCCACTCTGTCAACGTAGGATCCTCCCTTTCCTGCAACAACAAATATTGGAGACCAAATCTTTCACCTTTTTCAATAGCCTCAGTTAGTACAACCACGAACAGTCGGCAGAGGCACATTCGAAAAAAAATGTTAGCCGTAGTAGACGACAAGTGGAACAGCTTTCGTCCAGTGGATTATCAGTAGTAAGAATATCAACACTTTTAAGAATACTAAAAGTTGCTAATAAACACCAATTCAGATTTTTTGATCGCACTTGATCTTCATGTAAAACTAATTTACAAGTTCAACCTGGTCTAGGACTCTAGAATGAACTAGATTTTTTTAAATGATTTTTAAGTTCTTAGCTTTCTTTCCTACAGAAATTTTTTTGATACACGATTATTCTAAAATTTGATAAATTTCAAAATGTTTTGCAAGTTTTAGTAACATGTGGCATTTTTGTAGTCACTGAATCAGTCTATCGTAAATATTGAAGTCCAAAGACAATGGCTTTTATATCCTACATCTATTTTTCAGAGGCCGCTGCTTCTGGGGTTCTAACAGTGGTTGCGGCCATTGCAATCACAGCCACTGTTGAATGTGGTTTCAGAAAAGGTTAAAGCATCCACGGGATCTTACAACAGGAAACACTGAAGAGGAAATATAAAATTACCTGGCGAATTAGAAAAGGGTCACGAGTTTCAAAGGCCATGAATTTGTTCAGGTTGAAGAGTATATTGAAAACATTCCCACTAAGTTTGGATCCTTTAATATCACGGAGTGTGACGCAATTCTCCTCCTGAAAGAATCAGTGGAATGGTTATTTGAAATCAAAGGAAACCCCAAAATACCTCAAGATTATCAAACAAGTAAAGTTTTTGTCCGAAACAAAACCTCTGGTCCGATCATGTCAATTATTTGACATAGTATATCCTCAAAAAGAACAGGTTCCTGGGTAATGCACTCCATGCGATGCAATTGCTCTTCATAGAAAAACTGAATTTCATTTGGCCTAATCACGCCATCTCCATCTAAGTCTATGCACTTGAACCTGCAAGGACAGTATCAACCAGTATTCCAGAGATTTAATGTTTATCAAGCCATGTTCAAAATCCATGATGAAAGAAAAGCATATGCCACATCAGATGTTCAAAAGGAGTTATGCTAAGTTTGTGAAACAATGTGAATAATGACCAACAAACTAGTGAACGAGCAACTGCAAGCAAGGGCACTGCACATCAAAGTTAGGGACTTCAAACAAAGCAGAAACATTTGATGGTCATTGCCGCATATATCACAACTTTCTGGCTTAGTTATTGACTGAAAAACAAGGACAAAGCAGGTGGATAAATAAACAAAAGGGGGAAAGAGGGGGGGGGGGGGGGGGGAGAAAACCATACCAATACTCAAGACTAGGCTCAGCTGACTTGTCTTCCTCAGCAAGAATGAAGTAAACAAAATCCTCATAACCCATCTTTCCCTCGGCTTTGCTCGTAAATTTCCTAGGAATCTGAGATACATAGCCATACAATGAGTCATGGTCAAGGGAAAAAAATCACATTAAGTGGTAATTTCACTGCAAAATAGCTGTTAGCCAGAAATTTCATCTCAGGACCAACCAACCTGTGAAAATATTCTATCAACAATCCTGTAGGTGAGGGCATGGTTACCATATTTGATGAGATTTTCCTTGTCGATAAAGAAATCATGGTCACCATCAAGCTCCCAAAATCTGCAGTATATGACGTAGAAGTGCTCGTAGGAAAAGTACCTGAAATCAAAGGATATGTTATGCTACACAGAAAGACTTAATTATGTAGTGCCTTTGTTCTGGCATTTAAACAAATGGGATAAAACCCATAAAGCAGGAATATTTTGGTTTCAAGAGCGTATGATTTTAGTTTAAATAAGTATTTTATTCGAAATCTTTTAAAAACTATGTTATAAATGATTTTTAATAGTAAGTTTCAGAAGGATACACAGGGAGTTCAGAAGAAAATGATGAACAAGAAAATAAACTCACCTAAGAACTTTATTGATGTCTTCTTCTTCATCAGCTTGTTGCATAGCAGCAATAAGATTTCCACGTTTCAGCTCTCTTAGTGTAAGGCAACCGTTCCCTGATCTGTTTATGTAGTAAAATATTCTGTAGATGACGGTTTCAGCTGGGTAAACGACAAAGGATACAATAATAAAAGAAATAAGTACAAGCAAAAACCTTACACAATGAATTTAGGTAACAAACTGTAACACGCAGAAGATATAGGATATGTTAAGATATAGGATATGTTATGCGCCATCAGTCTTCAACTAATATTGATAGCTATTGTAAAGAAACATCCACAACAATAAATATCAGAATCTGATTAATGGAAGTGTTCCTCCAGTAAAGAAAATGACTTTTCACTTTCATGTTCAGCCAACTGGGTTTTGAATATCAAATACATGAATATAAGTAATAATTTACAGAATGAAATGAACACCATTCATTTTGCACAGACCACGGGTATGAACTGGATTATCCTATCCAGCTTGTCATGTCAAGATATAGTTGATATTTAACACTATAAATATCAAATCTCAAGAAACATCTGAATTCATACCATATCTCTCTTGAAACTCAGATGTATTCCTCAGGAATTCCAAGCCAGGATGAGTTGCCAGAAGCTCATCAAGAACTGGTCTGAAGTCATCCTGTATCCAAAATTCAGAAAAATATAAAAGCTAGATATTCAACACAATGAATTTAAATATAGAGAAAGAAACACAACATCAAATAAAACAGAACATCAGCGTAGGAAAATAAACTAGAGAGAAGGGTTACAAAAAGACCTGTCTTAGGTATTTGCAACCCGGCTGCCGTAGAATATTATATATCTGCGAGGCTGTATCCATGGTTAACATATTTCCATCAACCCAATACTTGATAAATGCATCCCTACATATAATTACCAAGGGATTAGCGGAACACCAATCAAGCACCCTATCTCATGTGTCAAGAAAGCTCTAAGTTCAAGGAAGGAATCAACATGGTGCAGAGGAGGATATAAATCAAACAACTAAATGCCATATTGTTGATGTACATATGTTTCAATTGATTAATTAAAGAACTGGTCCATGAGAACATATAAATCAATCGCCAAAAGTTGTACTTGTACTGTTGTATTTAATCATTTTTTATTAATTAACAAAACACATTTTATCAGAATGAAGACTCATAAGATTATATACCCCAAGCACCAGAAGTTCTATAGCAGCCTTAAATATTTTTCAACTAACTAATATACATATGCATACAAAACAGTGGTGCATAAGCGGATATAAAGTCTAGCACTAAAAAGCTATTGACATGCTAATTATTTTACACAAGTTATCAACAGACATTATATTAAAGAATGGCACAAAAGATGTTACCTCGTAACTACACCAGTGCCATCAGTGTCTATCTTTTTGAAAAGTGAGGAAGAAAGAAAAGATGGCAGCTTACAGACTTCTTTTGTAATGAATTTGAATTCTGCACAGGAACCAAAATATATTCATAAGATCAACTTATTGACCTTAAAATTTCTAAAGGAAAATAATAATAATAATGACGATGGTGAAATTGAGCTAAAATATCATCACCATCCATGTGAAGTCTGTCCATATAATTGCTGAAAATTTGATCAACCATCAATATACATTGTTCCTTTAGTTCCTTCGCTGGAGGACGCCCATGTTGAAAATAAAACTGCAAAAAATAATAGACAATTAAGAAAACAAATGAAACTAAAACACAAAATCCATTAAAAGCCTTCCGCTTAAACTGTTCTAAAAACAAATTGATTACCTTAAAAAGTGCAAGCTTACCATTTTATTCAGAAAACCATTTTATTTCTATCTAAGTCTAATTAAATGCCAAAATGAGTATTTTATCTGGTTTAGTACTCATCGTTCTGCGTCTAAGCAAACAATTTAGAAATAACTTTTGATGACCAATCCTGTTACTAAACATGAAAAGACCTAATCAGAGATTTCTCTAAGAAAAAACCGAATTAGAGTTTGAAGGAGTGGGAGGAAAAGAGAATCAAGATATACAGCACAGCAATTCCCTTCCATCTGTTACACATCACTCTCAGAAGTAATATATTCACACGAGGAACAGCGGAAAATGAGAATTCAACCTGAGGAATAACTTCACGCTTTGGCCCCTTGACTGATTTCAGTGGAGAATGTAGAGATGAAGGACTTGTCTTTTGCCTTGAGAAACGAGGAGAGCCAGATGAGCTCCGAGGTGATAACGGGGGAGTACCACCTCCCAGAAACACAGACGGCATACCACCGCCACAAGCAACATTGATACTGGAATAGTTCTTGGACACGCTAATGGGGGTCCCAGTTTTAGCATCATCAATCAAAGACTTAACCTGCACCGACATCACATGGGGACATGTCATGTCAACAGATGATCAAGCAAGATTATTGTATCGCATGACATTCATGTGTCAACTAACATAATAAAGCATCCACTAACACTATCTTCTCAGATGTTTGAGAAGCACCTATAAAGCCTCAGAGACCTACATGAGTTTTCACATGCCGATGAACCATACCCAACCTAACATTTACCAGAATCAAAGACAAAATTTGTACAGTTAAACAAATACAAGTCCTTTTCTTGCCTGACAGGAACTATTAACACCCTGTATTTTTTAAATCACCCTAGCATTTTACACCCTCTCATTAACAGTGGGCAATTATAATTAGCGGGAATACAAAACCTTGTGTGTATACTCTGGGTTCAGAGACAGGTATACACATTAGAAACCAGAATTAAGGGCAACCACACAAACTTGCAATTGGAGCAAAAGAGAAAGAACCATGTGTGTATCATTCAAACAATGGAGAGAGAGAGAGAGAGTACCAAGCGGCCAGTTTCTGGAAGTGAAAGCCAGTGAGAGAAAAGCTCTTCAGCAATTTGAGGGCTTGTTTTAAGTGGAAGTGGAGACAAACCCGGTAACTGCAAAAGCTCAGGATCCAAAATATGAACATCCTCAACCTCATCAATATCCATTGTGCACTATCTCATCAACTGAGAACCACAACTGCCACAAAACCCTAACTCCAGATATCACCGAAAACAACAGGAGCCACGAAACCGCAACACAAAACCCTATGTCTCCAGTTTCCTCAAAATCAATCGGAGCGGTAACTCACCGGCACAAAAACCCTAGTTTCTCAAGTTCCTGAATCAATAAGGAGTAACTCTACGCAAAAACCCTGATTTCTCGAAATCTAAACTCAATCGGAGGTAGTGAAACCGCAGCAAAACCCTAGGGATTCAAAATCCAAACAGCACCTCTGACAAATCGAAAACCGCTATCGACTTCAGAAAGGGTATTTTGCAAAAACAGGTAACAGCGTAGATCAAAACGCGAGTGGAAGGTCAGATCGAAAAACCCTAGTTTTCGAATTCCATCGATATGCAAAATAAGCAACAAGGTGATCAGATATAAATCTCAAGCGCTCTTCTTCCCTACAACATCTTCTACTCATTCCACACCTAGAAATCGATTACAGAGAGGACCCGTTGCCAATTCTGCAGAAGAACAGGATATTCCGACCAAGATATCGGAGAGAGAGAAAAATGAGGGTCGAGACAAAGGAAAAACGGAGAGATTTTCCCGGAAAGTTATGAAGTGATGGCTTCGCGAGGGTATTTAATACTGAAGTGGGAATGCTTTTTCCTCATCTTTGACCGAAAAAGTCAACGAGAACGGGCTGCAAAGTGCAACTGCACACGTCATCCTTATCTCTGTATTTCTCGTTAAATATCGAATTAATTACCAATTAATAATAAAAGTTTCCTAAATGCTAACGAAATATAATAACTTTTCATTGTACTAACTAAATATATATCCAGAAAATTCATCCTCTCATTTATACCATTAAAAGCTTATGATTTTTTTTAAATATGTTTAATCATTTGTTCATTCATCCGTTTTTTTTTATTATACGTATCTTCTTTTGCAATTATCAGATTGTAACTGTTAAATATATTATTTTTTAATGATATTAATGCGGAGATATTTCCGCATTAAAATAGGATCTTGTGACTTTGTAGGATTGGATTAGATTTTTCTTTCGGGATGAAGCCAGATGGATTAAATATAAAAATATTATTTGCTCACAAATTTTGAAGAATTCTAAGAATTGGAAAACTCAGTTATAAGCGTCACCCAAAACTATATTTACAATTACATAAAAAAAAATTATATTCACAACGAAAATTTCTCGTTATGGTTTTCGAGACGGGTGAATAAAGTTACCCAAGAGAAACTGCGTAATCGATAACCCGCTAAACTTGTCGGCTTCTCGCAACCAAATCTCTCTCTGTGTTTCATTCATTCGAACAGAATCTCGCGTTCTGAAGTTCTGAAACCATCTCGTTAAGGATTCCCGATTTCGTTGTCCTGACGAATTCAACGCCTGAGGAAGAGAAGAGAAGCAGAGAACATGAACATCTTCAGCAGGGTTTAGTACTCATCGTTCTGCGTCTAAGCAAACAATTTAGAAATAACTTTTGATGACCAATCCTGTTACTAAACATGAAAAGACCTAATCAGAGATTTCTCTAAGAAAAAACCGAATTAGAGTTTGAAGGAGTGGGAGGAAAAGAGAATCAAGATATACAGCACAGCAATTCCCTTCCATCTGTTACACATCACTCTCAGAAGTAATATATTCACACGAGGAACAGCGGAAAATGAGAATTCAACCTGAGGAATAACTTCACGCTTTGGCCCCTTGACTGATTTCAGTGGAGAATGTAGAGATGAAGGACTTGTCTTTTGCCTTGAGAAACGAGGAGAGCCAGATGAGCTCCGAGGTGATAACGGGGGAGTACCACCTCCCAGAAACACAGACGGCATACCACCGCCACAAGCAACATTGATACTGGAATAGTTCTTGGACACGCTAATGGGGGTCCCAGTTTTAGCATCATCAATCAAAGACTTAACCTGCACCGACATCACATGGGGACATGTCATGTCAACAGATGATCAAGCAAGATTGTTAGATTTGATCACTCACCCCATGAACCAACCATACATACCTTCTGATCGAAAGGGTTGTTCTTCCTTTTGGGGGTTTGGCGATTTGATCATCTGGGTTTCTCTGACCTCTTCTAAAGTTGACTTCTTTTGTAGTCTGTTGGCGATTGTGATCACATTCTAAGTGAATTTTACAATCTGTATTTGTGATTGGGTTGAACTGGAGAATTCCCCGTCTGAATCGAGAATCCGTTATCAAGGAAACAGATCGAATCCACTCACCGGATTTGTTTGCCCTTTTGGTGATTGCAGAGGCACTTCGGGAGAGCAAGAGAGAAATGGCACAAGCTACGAGAGGTATTGTTCTTGTTATCACTGCAATGGCATTGAAAGGGAAGGATTGATCATCTAGCCGGGCTTCGTTCCATGATTAAAAAAAATATATCCTTGCTTTTGGATTGATTCATCATCCCAGTTGCTGACCAATGTGCTGAACAGTTTCCTCGATCGTTATCTCTTATCCATCAACTTTTACTCGCTAAACTGATTAGATTGTCCTCTTTTCAGGGATTGAAAGGGAAATCGGGGGCCTGCAACTGGAGGTATGAGCACGCCATTCCTTGTGTGGATCTTATCCCCAAAATGTCTTCTGGAGATGTCTGATATAGTTTTTATCATGACGATAGGAAAAAAAGCTCGTGGCCGAGATAAAGAGAACAGCTAAAACGGGGAACGAGGTAATTTGAGCTTTCCTTGCTGGTTGGTTCTTCTGGGGTTTGTGTTAGGTAATATGTCTACGTCATACTTCTGATTGAGCTTCCCTAATTTTTTGTTTTTTGGTTCGTCAATTCCTTGTAGGGAGCGACTAAGATCCTGGCCCGGCAATTAATCAGGCTAAGGCAGCAAATAGCCAACTTACAAGGCAGTCGAGCTCAAATGCGGGGTGTGGCTACTCATACACAGGTGTCTCAATGAAAACCTCTCTCATTGTTCCATAGTAATTACTCGAAAGTATATTGTTTCTTTGGAAATTTCATATACGTATATTTTGGATCATTCATCGTGTTGTTGTTCAGGCTATGCATGCGCATACCTCAGTTGCCGCCGGTATGAAAGGTGCCACGAAGGCAATGGCAGCGATGAATAAGGTCAGTCTCATCTGATTACTGTTTTTTTTTTCGTGTCTTTTCTTTCAATTCCTACGGATTCATCAGATAAATCTCGATGGAACTCGTCAATTCGTCAAAACACATTTTTTTGTAATTTGGTTTCGGGGTACAACTTTTGTTCTTGAATTAACAAGTTCGTCTGATATTTCCAGAAAATGGAACCAGCGAAGCAAGCTAAGGTTATAAGGGAATTTCAGAAACAGTCGGCTCAGATGGATATGACTGTAAGTATCCAATCAGATCTCTTCCCTGCCAACTGGAAAGCTATATGTTCTTTGAAATCCTCAGACCGCAAATTTCGTGTGGTGCATATTGGTGTCAGACCGAAATGATGTCAGATGCCATAGACGATGCTTTGGACAACGATGAAGCCGAAGACGAGACTGAAGAGTTGACAAACCAGGTAAGCACATGTCTGTTTTTACCCGTCGAATTATAGTACCGCTACCACCAAGACATTGAACAATGTTCTGTTTGCTGGGTAGGTGCTCGATGAAATTGGCGTCGATGTTGCCTCGCAGGTTTGTTTTCAGCCACTCAAGTCTAACTTTCTGCATTTCTTTCGGCTCCAAAGATTCCTCCGATTGACTTTTTTTTTGTTGTCTGTTTGGTCTCTGGCAGCTATCATCCGCTCCAAAAGGTAAAATCGCCGGGAAGAAAGCAGAGGAGGATGTTGGCAGGTATACACTTTGCTCGAACAAACCCGACAATACTTGCATTCGGGTTGACCATCGAGACAACTAGCATATTAGCCATGACAGTATAATCAAAGTTCTACTACTGTTTTTTTCTTCAGTTATGCATCGTTTTCTCGATCGATATATCTGCAAAGATGTATCGATCTTTATCTGATAACTCTAAACCATACCCGCGATTCATCTCTCCATCAACACATCTTTTTAGATCAGTGTTTGATGCAAAACCTGACCTCCATAGTCACCCATGATTGTTTTCTCATACTTTTTTTGTCCGTACGGCCTGGTTTCAGTTCTGGCATTGATGAGCTGGAGAAGAGATTGGCAGCCCTTAGAAATGCATGAGCTGAAGAACATTATTCAAGATGGGTCTTCTGCAGTTTGATTTTTTTTTAAGGCGTTCCTGTATGTAGTAATGGTTTCTTGCACACTTTTTTCTGCAACTTTCAATTGCTCTGTTTCATTGTGAGCCAAGAAACTTGGCTGTCAAAAGTAAATAAATAAAATTGAATGCAACATTTTTATTACAGATGGATCAAAGTCGCATGTAAGAATATAGTTTCACCGTTTACATGAAACTCCCCCACCTTTTGTTTTGTGGTTCTTTTTTGGGAGAGGGTGATGCTTTACACTGACAACATATAATTCTCTAGAAGGGTAAGAACAAAGGGAGGTTGAGGGAATAAAACTGAGCATATCTCTGCAGCTTTAGCTTGAAATTACCTGTAAATACCGACAATTTCCTACTTCCACCGTTTCCGTATACACAAAAGACTCGAGCATATGAAACTGTTCCAAGATTCTCCTCTTCTTGTAGAAGAAAATTTCCACGTTTCGTCTGATGATCTTTGGCAAGACTCATCGAGTATCGGTATATGTTTGTGTTTGAGTTCATTTCCGAATAGAGAGAAGCTTGAGGCTCCTTATCGGATCATCATGAACGTTCCTAGGAATAGCTTTGCGGGAGAAAGACGAGGTCTTGGATTCGTATCCTCCAGAATGGATTCTTTGGCTGGTTGAGGGATGAACGCTGCCACTGGATGAGGCCAACCGGCTAGAGGCTCTGCTCTCGCTTGGTCCACCTGCAGAACTTGGCCGAGAGCTTGAAGCCACAGCTCTCCTTGATAAGCTTCCATATCTGGTGGAACTGCCCGCTCTTTCCGAGTCCCCGTGCTGCTGCTGCAAACAGTATAGCAATATAATCAGAGCCGTCTAGAGGAGCAAACGAACAAGTCAAAGAAAAAAGAAGGTAATATACTGCATGCTTAGACAGAGGCCCGTCATCAGAGTTTCGGGATCTTGAATGATCACGTGGGGTAGAAGTTATAGGGTGCCTACGGGAGAAGGCCTCAATCGCACCCGAGAATCTATCTCGAACTTCTTTTCCTACACCATGAAAAAGCTAAAAACTTTAATCTGCGAAAAACGCTGTAGCAGAACAAGTTGCAGTTACAACCTACAGTTGAGCATGGTGTTGTTCGTTGATGTATAAGATGCTTTTATCAATGATTCAGTCATTCTCAAATTCTCCATATATACAGCTTCCCAAAATGAAACATTTGCGCAATAAGTGAAACTATTGCAGATTTTGAAAAAGACCTAAAGGGTACTGGGAACTTACCACAGATCCTCTCTGGTTTTTCCGCAGATGGTCCTGCAGTTAGCCCTGGTTTCCCGGTGGGATGCTGGAAAAAAATAAGCAAAGATAACACTTGCATAAGCAAAAGAACGCAAGAGAGAAGGAACTTAAGCCAAAATATTGGATTACCCTTGTCCTTAAACTGGAGCTAGAGCTGGAACCAGTCTGAGGATATTTTAGCACTGTCCAGTCAAATACATAATCAAACTGATAACCTGTGCCATGGTTCAAAAGTTGTAAGAGGAAACGAAAATAAAGAAACTGGGCGAAGATGAGAAACTTTAGCAAGGATAAAAAAGCAGGATAAAGGACCTTCTCGGATAAACAAGTCACGGAAAAGCCTCTTGAGGTAAGAGTAATCAGGTTTGTCATCAAATCGTAGGGACCGACAGTAATGGAAGTACGAAACGAATTCTGATGGGCAACTTTTACACAAGACCTGCGTACACATCAAGACATATCATTCACATTGCAAAATTAGCGAAAATCACAATAATGGGACACGATCATGTCTGATACCAAAGAGACTTTTGTTTCCTACCAGAGTGTTACAAGAGTCCATCCTATACTGCAACCAAATCATTTCCCAGAAACCATGAGTAGAAATTAAACTCTAAGAACCAGTTTTGAGTCAGAAATAACCCAAAAGTTTATATAGTGCCCCAGGGCCAACTCCAACGAAGTGGCATGGTAAGATATGACCATGTTTTACACTGGTTAGTCTACTGTAGGCTGTAGCCTATCCAAATTGTATCTTCCGTGGGGACACACCGTTCTAAGTAGCTTTCAACTAAATGGACCTTTGAAGTGGGTAGTTCTAATACGATTTGGGAGGATCAGCATATAATAGCTCCTAACCATTTGCTACAAATCCATCGATAGATCTTAACCCTCATAATGGATTTCCAGAAGGGGTACAAATAAGTTTAAAGACAACAAACCAAAACCATATTTGGTCGTGTGCAGCCTAACAGATTGATGGTGATTTTCATACCTCTATAGGTGTTGATACTTTCTTCTCGCTAATTCTGTCATACTTTTGGTGTTTGGTTCCAGCCTTTAGTCCCTGCCAGGGAAGGCTGAAGCAAAAAATAAAGGAAAAGAAGTATTTGTTCAAAATAGATGTTAAAGAAGAAAACGAAGATACTGAAAAAATCTGGAGAAGTTGAAAAACTATAGTGGTTGCTGTAGGCTCTACCTTCCTCTGAGGAAGTACACAAGTACATAGCCGAGTGATTCCAAATCATCCCTTCGACTTTGTTCTGTCAATATACAGGAGAAAGCACCTAAGAATCAGGCCCAAATAATACAGTGGCAGGAATATCATCACAAAAAACAACATTCTTACCGACTCCGAGGTGAGTGTTGACGCTTGCATACCGAGCCGTGCCAGTGAGGTTTTTGTTCTCTCTGCCAGAAAATTTGATGATCATAATGTGTCTACAGATAGAAAGTGGCAATGATACAAATCCGTGCATGACAATTCAGGGAAAGGCAGCTCAAGGGAGAATCTTACCTGTACGGAATGTGCTTGTGAGTCTGAAGGTCTCTATACTTCTTCCCCAGTCCAAAGTCGATCATATACACCTTATGCATCAAAAACAAACAATGTGTCAAAAAAAAAGCACCAAAATGAAGAGCTTTCTCAAAATCCAAGCATGATATTGCTTTTCCTAACATGAAATGAAAGCCCAAATAAAATCTGTAAAAATACTGCTGAATAGACCATATACAAAAGCCTTACAACCACTTCTCCAATACTAATGCCAAGGTGACTAAGAAGACAGATAGTACCTGATTTGCTTTGCGCCCAAGGCCCATTAAAAAGTTGTCAGGCTTTATATCACGGTGAAGGAAACCTCGAGAATGTATATATTCAACCCTGTTAAGCTGAAATGTGGGAAGAGGAAAACGATATTCATCAACTAGAACACCCATGTATTCAAACAGAAGAGTAGTACATAACGTAACAGCTGAATATACTCACTAGTTGGTCTGCAAGCATGAGGACGGTTTTCAAGGACAATTTCCTGTTACAGTAGTTAAACAGGTCTTCCAGACTCGGGCCTAGAAGATCAATAGCCATGACATTGTAGTCCCCTTCAACACCAAACCACTTGAGATTCGGAATGCCAGCTTCAAAAGGAAAAGAAAAACTTCTAATTATGCACAAAATAGTGATATAACTAACATGATTTAGAATAAGAGTCCCTATCCACAAAGAGACTCTCAACTGCTTGAGAACCTCGCATAACATGATATAATCCCCTGCATGCAGAAGTACACAATTTCTTTTCAACAAATACTTTTGTTCCAAACAGAGGAGCAGCCCCGTAATCTTGTTATAATCATTTGGAAGTACCATATACTTTTGCAGGGAGGGAAATGGGACTTACTTCCTCCTTGGAGCAACGTGTACAACTTTGACTCATAATGAAGTTGGGGATGCTTGGTCTTCACAGGTTCCTAAATATTAAATCAAAAGAAGCAAAAGGAGGGAGTAAGGAGAAAAGCTTGTGATCAAAATCAAAAGCGGTGTGCTGTTCATTTCAAGGGTAAATACAATTGAGTAAACATTTAACAGGAGAGAGGTGTCATGGCCTTGGAGCAAATTGATTTTTCCAAGCAACATCAGGTTATTCCATCACGACTTTCTTCTAGTAGATTCTAAGAAGCCCTTAATGTTCCCATTGCACTAAACCCCCCGAAATCGCAAAACGCCATTGTTATATCTAAACATCTCTAAAGGTACCTAGAAAAGGAAACTAGTTTGAATATTTCAAGAAAACCTTTCGTTGGAAACGGGCAAAAGATCATTTTTTTTTCTTTGTCCATTTCCAACAATCTGTCTTCTAATGCCTGAAAATCACCAGCAGAGTCTACTATCGTAAATTTACCAGCTTGACACCAACTTCTTCTCCAGTTTGGACATTTACACCTGCAAAAAAAGCTTTAACGCATAAAAACTCGAATTTGGAAGGAAAAAAAAAAGATGGAATCTACAAAATCAAACAACGAGATTGCAATGCTGAAGCATCAAAGGTGATTTTATCTTCCTTTTTATACCTAGATATAGCTCGCCAAAGGACCCACTACCAATTTTCCTTCCAAGCTTAAATTTTCCACCGACAACAAGATCCATCTTCTTCTCCAATCTCTCGGCAATACCTATTTCTCCAAGCACAATATCAAACAGATCCTTGCTGTTTTCCGGGACTCAGATTCGTTCCCCATTTCAATATCTAACCCCAGAAATACGCTCCGGAATCACGACCAGAAAAACGACCAGAAATTTCTCAGATTCGCAAATTTACACCAATGCCTCGAAAACGATGGAACACCAAAAGCCATGCCTTAATTCGCCATCAAACAATGAACCACGTAATCTCCGACGATAAATCTTAATAAGCTACACCGATCACGAGAACGATGAATTGGAATCGGCTACAATCGAGAATTCGTGAGAGGGCACACCCAGAAATCCAAATCACGGCAATCCAACGAGAACCCTATTCCAAAAGAAGATAAAACTGCCATGGAGGAGAAAACGCATAAGCGTATAGCTGGATTTGACCCGGCATTCTGGCGGAACGTCGAATTTCGCTCAACGATGGAAGGAAGATTCGCCCATTACTACGAATGAGAGAGAGAGAGAGAGAGACTCGCCGTTGGCTTTTTGAATATTTTCTTGAATATGATTTTTGGTTGTTTAATGTTTTCATTTTACTTGGAAAAAGGGAAATAACTTAAAAGTACGTTAAATATGGTAAACAAAAAATTAAATGAATTTTGAATTTATCAAACAAATTACGAATTATTCTCAAATTATTAAATACAATATGTTAAATTGTCTCTCACAACCATACAGATGTTAATTTGACACATAGGAAAGTTAAATATCATACAATTAAATAAACGTCACGTCACAATAATTTGTTATGCCATGTGATTTCATGTGAGAAAAAAGAAATCAAGATTGAAAGATTGATGAAAATTTCTAAATCCAAGCCAAAGGTTTGATATCTTAGATGAAATTGTTCAACAAAGTTTAGGCTTTCTTCATTCCATCCCTGGTCTTGTTACGGTTGTGATACAATTGGATATTATTTCAAGAGAAGTTGCATATTGTAACCCAAAAGAACTATACATTATTAGTTAAATAAAAAAAATTGGTATATTTTTTCAAATAAATCGTTTATTTTTATAACACTTTCCCTTGTCTGTAATATTTTCTATAACGGTACGCATTTTACATGTGAAATTTAAATTGCATAAGATTCTCTATAGTATGATAAAACTTGAAAGCAGCACAATAATACCCTAACATGACTTGTTCGAAAAGCCCATTAGGGTTTATTTGAATCTAAGTACGTACATATACACATAATTTATAATCCGAGTTACAATATTAGTTGTATGTAAAGTTAATACGATGTTTCGTGCATAAAACTTGATTTGATTTTATGATTCATACAAATAAAAATACGAGGAAAATTTATATGATCTAGATGGGCCCAATTTGATTTTGAAAAATATATCGTGGCACTGCCAAAACCGTTATATTCTGGTACACACCTACAACCAGCCTATATATAGTGCTAGAATATGCATGTAGCGGTTTTGGTAGTGCACAGAGCATCTATTCATGTTCATGTTCATCGAGTGTTTTTCACAGATCTGGTGAATATAACTAGCTAGTATTTGTGAGTTTTTATTCTTACCGAATCTTACATGTTTACTCTCACGCTTCTATTTTTGTGTTTCTGATGCGTTTGTTTATATATATGCTATTGTGCATTCATGTGCTTGTATGGTTTCCCGCCTCTGTTCATGTTCACGTTGATGGAGATTATCGTTGCGCTATTATACACACATATGTGCACATGTTTCCCGTTTCTATTCATGTTCATTTTGACCTAGTTTTTTTCACATATCTGGTGAATATAACTAGTTTTTGTGATTTTTTTTGTTACGTTTTTTTTCATACTATACATTTGATCTTCTATTTTCACCGAATCTTAATACGAAGGATGCAAACCTGTACCGAGATCTTACTGATCTACCACCGAGCTTCCTTGACGGACCGCCGAAAGGTTCGCCGCAATCGCCTCTTTCTACCTCCTCTGGTAAAGTCCAAGACTTCACCTGCTAACAACCCGAGGATTATACCTGACGTCTACCCGTCTCCTAAGTCTATCCCGATTTTTCTAAGACTAACCTGAGTCATACTACCGAACTCGCTGGATACCTAGTCCGGATCCCCGTGAAGTCTACACTACCTATAGATATACGACTTCTACCCTCGGACCCTAAACTGCCAACTAGAATTGTCCCACGGTTTTGTCCAGTGAAGACGCCCCTAGTCCTCTAAGAATGCTCCACCGAGAATGAGACACGTGAGTGCACGTGCTCCACTCGAGAGGGAGTGTCCTAGCGCCAACCTACACCGACTCTACCCGGTGACCCGATACCTCCCAACTCACATCATCTCCTGAGCATCCTACCCGAGGAAGCTCCACCTAAATGTGGAGACCTCATCTCCTGACCTACCATCGAAAACCGAAGCAACTTCGGTTACTCCTCCGAGGTCAATTCGTCATTCTACATCGGACTCTGCCTACCTCGTCATCCGGGATCTACAAATCCTCCATGTAGTATCCCTACCTACCCGCGGAACCACTCACTCCACCTGGTCCTTGGCCTTCTCCTGCACCCGATTTTTCGGGTTTGCCCGAGATCCCTAGTCCTTCCACCATACCCCTTTTCGGGGTATACCGAGTTAGAATATCTAACTCCTCATCCTGAGACGATAAAACTCGAGTCTAAAACTGACTACCCGGAAGAGACTTAACCGACCCTAGAAGTGATGTAACATGACACGAGGGATGAGACCGAACCCTAGAGGACTTAACCCTAGGTATATTTCTACCTAGTCGTGCTTGACACGCTCTAACCCTAGTCTATCGGGCCTAACCTAGGTATGTGTTTACCTACTCAGACCTACTAGACTAAGAGAACACAATCTAACGGGACTTAACCTAGGTACTCAACCTAAACCGATCTAACGGATTCTAACCCAAGCCTAACCGGACTTCACCCTAGGTACTCATTACCTAAACGGAACTAATACACTCTAGACCAGACCTGATTGGACTTAACACAGGGTATATTTCTACCTAACCAACCTCTTAGACTCTCACACAAGCCTGATTGGACTTACCCTAGGCATAATTTTACCTAACCGAAAACACAGTCTGCCTTAAGACCTGATTACGTCTAACCAGACCTAACTTAAGGCTAATCAGACTAGCTGATTACGTCTAATCAGACCTATAACACCGAGTCTACATGACCCCCAACAAAGTCCTAACCAGTCCTACGACACCGAGTCTACATGGTCACTACCGAAGTCCTAATCAGACATACCTCAAGTGTTACCTAGACCCTAATAGCCCTAGTTAGACCACCAAAAGTCCCGACTAGACCACCACAACACCCTAATCAGACCTAAGCCAACCCTAATTGATCAACCCTTGATTAGATGACCACAAGTCCTAGTTAGACACCTAAAAGTCCTAATCACCAAACCTAAGCCAACCCTATTGACTCACCAACCCCTGATTAGACTTTTAGCAACCTAATCAGACCTAAACTAAGCCTCATGAGACCTAATTTCCCTCTGATCAGACCCTATAAACGCGTAGAACCAATCTCTACAGACATGCCCTGATCTAAACCGATCCCTACAGACCTATACCTAGTGATTCTAGACTTATCCAACCCCTAAACCAACCCGTTTTAGCCAAATCCCAACTAATCAGACCTAACCGGTCAAAGTACCGGACTTTATGACTCAAAACAGGTACTTAGAAGTCCTATGTAGTCCTACACTAGATAATACTTAAGTCTACAATCAGATTCTAATCTGATCAGACCTAGACAATGTCTCTATAGACATTCTAAATCTCTAATCAGACCTAACCAAGCCTATTTAGACTTATTTACCTTCTGTTCAGACCTAGACTATGCTAGCTAGACTAACCCAAATTTGGCTAAACCAGACCTATCTGAGACCCAAAAACAGCCCTTACAGATCTATACCGACCTAAACCAGTCAATTTCAGACCTATACCAGCCTATTCAAGTCTAACCCGACCTCTTACCCGGCTAAACGTAGTCGAATCCACCTATTCAGACCTAAACTGAACAGAAACCCGGAATCTATGACTCACATTAGCTAAACCGAGATCTAAACAGGTCTATCTATAGTGTATTTCTCTAAAACCAAGCCAAATTGGATATAAGGCCGATCTAACAGGGTAAACCGATCATTACAGACCATAATATACCCTAAAGCAGTTCACTATGCCCCAAACCAGACACCATCAGACCTAATTTGGACTAACATAACCCTAAACCAGTTAGTTCTAGTCCTAATTGTACACTCCAGACCCTAAACCGATCTAATCTAGTCCTAAACTCACCAACTCAGACCCTAACACGACCAATACCAGCCCTAACCAGATAAATCAGATACTAAACAGACCTCTCTCAGCCTAAAACCAATCTGATCTTACCTAATACCAGACCCAATTAACCTAGATGGTCCAATTCTAGCCTAATTGGACGAACATAGCCTAAATTAGACCTAAACCAGTCTAAACCGGCCTTAATTCACCTCCAATCAGACCCCATTGGTCTAAACCGAACAGTTCTAGCCCTATCCAGACAAATCAGACCTTAACCAAGACTTAAACCAGCCCTGAATTATCCTAAACCGGACTCAATTGACGTAAACCGGATCTGAATTGATCTAAACCGGACCTAGATTGACCTGAACCAGTCTAAACCAGTCCAATTGACCCCAAACCGGACCTGAACATGTCCGATTTGACCTAAACTGGTCAACTGTTGACCAAATTGGTCAACGGACTGATCGAACCGGAGTGAACGGTCTGAACCGGCCGGGATCGGGTCTGAGCCAGCCTGAATCGGCCGGAATCCGGTCTGAACCGATGAAACCGGGTCGAACCCGATCTGACCGCCGAGAACCGGACTTGGATCGAATCGAACCGGGTTTGATTGATCCAAACCCGGTTAAACCGAGAATTAGTTCGATTAAACCGATCTGAACCGGTTTAATCCGAAACCCTAATTTCCGAAACCCTAGCTGCCGAGTCACCAAAGTTGACTCGGTCGTTGACTCGCCCCGATTCCTCCACTCAGCCCTAACTCGGACGAGTCAGGACCGAGTTTCACCGGAATCAGGATCTTATTCGCCGAGTTCACCGAGTTTCTTTGAAACTCGGTCTCAAAACCGGAGAAAAAAACGCGGAAAATAAAGGAAACCGAGTCAGAAATTTACCTGACTCACCTTCGAGTCTGTCTTCACCGATTTTGATCTGTGAAGCTCCACCTTGACGGATCTGACCGCCGGCGACCCCGAAGATGTTAGATCCACCTTTCACCGTCATTGATCTACCTCCGTCGCCGCCTGAAACACTCAAACAGACCATCAAAATACTCTGACAGACAAATCCGAACCGAAACCCTAACTTACCTCGCCTTTTCCGGTGAACTTACCTCCCAGGATCGTAACCGGGGCTCTGATACCACTTTATGAAGCGGTATATATCGGGCCTCGCGGTTTCACTCTGACGCTCGTGTGTTCAAGAATCGAAGAAGACAGAGGCGTTTTAACGAGTCGGTTACTGAGATAAATCTCGGGCCTACATCTCGGCCGGACGGCGCCGACGAATCCACTATCGACGGAAGAAAAACACCGAAGAACAGAAGCTCAGCGGATCTCCACAATCCGGAGCCTCACCGAGAAGAACCGAGATCGAAAAAGGAAAGAAAACAACTGAGGGATGCAAACCTGTACCGAGATCTTACCAATCTACCACCGAGCTTCCTTGACGGACCACCGAAACGTCCTCCGCCGAAAGGCTAGCCGCAATCGCCTCTTTCTACCTCCTCTGTCTCATTCTTCTCTCTGATGAAAGTGTCGAACGAAACCAAAACCTAGGGTTTCTATTACTTACCAAAACGAAGCGTTTCTTCAATGCAAGCCAAGACCCTCTTAATGAGCAAGAGGGTTTCTCCTCTTTTCCGCCAAAGCTGTTTTTAGGGCCTTAGGCCCACCAAAAAACCCAACAGAGAACATAACTTAATAGGAAAATAGCATCATGACATTGGAACATAGCACATCAAATAAATAGAACCACTAAGATATTATGGAGGATCCATAACGAGGTAAAATAGTATATTAATTATTTTGTGATTATTTAAATTCTAATTTTTTTATGCAGAAATCTGTTGGGCAATATCATTGGCTTTGCTTTCACAATCGTTGTTCAACAACGAAAAAAGGGAACAAGATCGATTAACATTTAACATCGACAAATTTATTAAAATATGTGAAAAAATAAAAACCGATAAACTCTCACACATAAAGATTGGCGTGGATTACATCGCTTTGGAGGGACTTCCCAAAAACGACGTCAGGGGTAAAACTGTAAGTCTAAATATAAGTGCATAATTTATTTATATATATATGCATATTATTTTTTATCTTTTAAATAGATAATTATTTTTAAAAAATTTGTAGTCAAATCAAAGTCACACGATGAAAAGATCTCTAATGATTAAGAGGAACGCTAACAAAGATTTTATCCGGGAGCAGCTGGAGATGGGTCCTGTTGTATTGATTCTCATTGCTAATGACGAGTTCAATGATCTTCGAAAGGTTAGTTACAATTTAGTAACATAATCATATTGGGTGTAAATAACTAAAGCAAAATGTTATGGAAAATTTTAAATTTTGCACGATATTTGTCACATACCACATGTGAAAGAAAACGACTTTACGCATTGCGTATTGATCGTTGGATATGGTTTCACCGAGGATGGGAAATTATTTTTCTTAATTCGAAATTCTTGAGAAGATAGCTGGAGAATTCAAGAATATGAGAGGATTTTTATCGATCTAGAGTATGATATAGATATGACGGTTAAAGTTTGGTAAATTTATTTTTTCTATATATTTTATATCTATTAACAATTTTTGTTTGTGTATTTTTGATGGCACAAGTAATATAATGATTTTTTTTTAAAATAAGGTGCAACATGGACAAGCCATCGCACATGACGCAAATGACATCATAGTTTGATTCAGGTGATTTTTCTAATTTTGAAGATATATATATATGAGTTATTGCTGTTAAGGATTTATACCGATTTGTTGTCATTTATTAAGTGTGCGATCTAATATATTCAACGTCAATTCATTTATAACAAACAAGAACAGTGGAATACAAAAGATAAAGACAGGACAAGCTTTTGATAGAGGAATTGAGTAGCAAAATATAACAATGCGAACCATCATCCAAACGTATCGTCGACAAAAACAAGGACGGACCTAGATGTCAAATCATTCATTCATGGACTACATTGCTTTGGATGGACTCCCTAAAAATGGCGTAAGTGGTAAAACTCTAAATGTATATATAAGTGTGTAAAATTTATTTATATTCAGATTATTTTCTATCTTTTAAATATATAATTATTTTTTTAATTTTAGTTAAGTCAAAATCACATGATGAAGAGAAATTTTATAAGTAAAAAGAAAGTTAACAAAGATTTCACCCACGAACATTTGGAGATCGATCATGTTGTATGAATTTTCACCGCAAACAAAGAGTTCCATAATCTTCAAAAGGTCAGTTAAAATTTAGTAATGTAATCATATTTCATGTAAATAACTAAAGCGAGATGATTTGGAAAATTTTAAATTTTGCACGATATTTGTATCATATCACAGGTGCATGAAAACGATTTTACGCATTGCGTATTAATCATTGAGTATGGTTACACCGAAGATGTGAATTTATTTTTCTTAACTAGCTAATTCGGTGATCGATCGACATTTATAAAAGATTGGAGATATATTTATAGAGACATAGAGAAACTGAGATCAAGGACAAAAAATGAAGTATATCAAAGTATATTATAGTTAGCTAGTTAATATTATTAATAATTTCACAAAATAATATATTATTTATTTTGTGATTATTTAGATTTAAATTTTTCTATGTAGATATTTGTTGGACAACATCATTATCTTTACTTTTACAATCCTTATTCAACAATGGAAAACGAGAACAAGATCATTTAACATTTAATATCGAAGAATTTATTAAGAAATGTGGAACATCAAAAACTGATAAACTTTCAAATATAGAGATTGGTATGGACTACATTGCTTTGGATGGACTCCCTAAAAATGGCGTAAGTGGTAAAGCTCTAAATGTATATATAAGTGTGTAAAATTTATTTATATTCATATTATTTTCTATCTTTTAAATATATAATTATTTTTTTAATTTTAGTTAAGTCAAAATCACATGATGAAGAGAAATTTTATAATTAAAAAGAAAACTAACAAAGATTTCACCCGCAAACATTTGGAGATAGATCATGTTGTATGAATTTTCAATGTGAACAAAGAGTTCCATAATCTTCAAAAGATCAGTTAAAATTTAGTAATGTAATCATATTTTATGTAAATAACGAAAGCACGATGATCTGGAAAATTTTAAATTTTGCACGATATTTGTATCATATCACAGGTGCATGAAAACGATTTTACGCATTGCATATTAATCATTGAGTATGGTTACACCGAAAATGTGAATTTATTTTTCTTAATTTGAAATTTGTGGGGAGTTAATTGGGTAGTTTAAAAATATAGAAGAATTTTTATCGACCACGAATATGATATAGTCTATCTATGATGGTGAAATAACGGTAAATTTATTTTTTTATATTTTATATATATGAACAATTTTTGTTTATGTATATTTTTTGTAGCATAAATAGTTTAACTGTTTAAAAAAAATTAAGTTATTTTTTCTAATTTATATATATATGAGTTATTGTTGTTGTAAGGATTTCTATTGACTTGATGTCATTGATTAAGTCAATCTGATTCAATGTTATTTCATTTATAACAAACTCATTTATAATAGTTAGGATGCGAGGAAAGGATATTCTTGTGAAACTAGCATATGAAATTTCAGATTTTTCTCTATAATCCTAAATTTTATATGTTTTTTGTTTATTCTTTTCTCTAGAAGTGAGATATAAGTTTGGATACGAAATCCTATTACCCAAAAAGTTATGGTATACTATACCACCAAAGTTGTCAAAAGACAACCGACCAAAATCTAGTTTTCCATCAAATTATTGGTTTATAATAAAAGTCAAATCCAATATCTTACATGGGAAGAAAAAACGCTCAAAAGTGTTTCATATTTTAACAAATTTTTTATATAAACAAGCAAATTCCCTTCATGGTCAAACTTGAAACAAGAAAATTAGGAAAAGTATCCTTAATAGTTCATTAAGATTCTATATAGTTATGTCAACTTTTATATGGTTCAACGCTCTATTCACCCTAAAAAGGAAAGTCTTTTTAAGGGAGTATTATCCAAAATATCTCTTTTTGCTAAAAATATTTTTGCATATATCATCTCCAGAATATGATTAGAATGATTATTATAAACATAATTACATTGATCATAATGTTAAATTTATTGTGATGACACCAAATCATCATGGACATGCATTACATACCACTCTAATCACTTGGTGAAACCGCCATAAAATTAGCGTTATGATCCATGTGACCGTTTGAGTTATTTAAATACAATTACGTTAGAATAAATAATGCAGAACGAGAAAACGATAAAGTCTTTCATATCTCTTTATATACGAAGTGTTCTCTGACGGAAGTTACCATACAAAATAACTGAGCAATTAAGGCACTTCATTCCCTAATAGTAAATTCATACGCATGGTTGCAGCCTGCAATTTTGAAAACAAAAATAAAGAGTTAAATAAATGGCATCAAATCAAAATCACTCATCCATTCCATTTCAATTTACTTTAAAAGATTCTTACCTCGTGATCAGTTTCATTCAATATATATGGAAAATAATTATAGCATCATTTTAGAGCAGCGAAGTTCAAAAGGCAAAAACGGATGCATAAGTTTGAAGGTATCCATGAAAAAAAAAAGAAAACAATGCATAAATTTGGTGTACTGTTTCAAGAAATTATCTTGCCGGCAGATTAATATGACATGTACATACATGGACAACAAAATTTAATTTGGAATACACATAACATGGGAAAAAACCTGGTCCCATCAAGGATATGGTAGAATTTCCATTAATCATAACTATATAATCGTTTACGACGGTGAAGAAAATATAAGTGGGTTTATATTTATATTTATTGTCACGTTGTGTTGACCATTTTCATGTTAATGAAAAAATATCAATTTGACACTGGAAACGAAATCTATTGTCAAAGTTCTGGATAGCGTGTCTAAAAATAGGATATTATCCGATGACACAGAACAAACTTCTTTTTTAAAAAAAAAAATGCAGTCATAAAACAAATTGGATCCGAAAAAAGTACTCTAAGCTATAATGGCATACAATAATACGATTATATGAATTTACTTATATAGATTGAAGAGGTGGTTACGTGATATTAATTTGACCATATTTATGTGATAGATTTGCGTTTGACCGCGCCCACCAAGTCATTTACCATATCAGAAAAAATTTAAAATCCCTAATAAAAAAAGAAAATTTTTAAAATCAAAATAAATATATCTATACATATATATATATATATATATACATATATGCATATACACATACGTACATATACATACACAAATATATATATATATATATAAATAGGAATGAATAAATTTATTTTCATTTCTTGTTTATTTTTTATATATTTATTTTATTTTTTAAATAATTTGCTACTTTTATATGGCTGATGACCACGTGATAATTATGTAAGAATACGGACACATATATACAATAATATTCCATACTTCTTTATATATGAAAGTGTTCTCACACGGAATTAAAATAGTAAATTCATATGCAATCAGATATGCATATTTCGAGTTTCGACACAAACAACTCTCAGGATGGTCCTAAGAGACAACTCGCACGTAAACTCCTATCCTCCTAACTGCAGCCTGCAATTTTGAAAACAAATATAAGGAGTCAAATAAATGGCTCTCATCCATTCCATTTCAATTTATTTTAAAAGATCCTTACCTCGTGAGTTTCATTCAATATAGAAAATAATTATCACAAACCCATTTTAGAGCAGAAGCATAAGTTTGAAGGTATCCATGAAAAAAAGAAAAAAAAAACAATACATAAATTTGGTGTACTGTTGCAAGAAATTATCTTGCCGGCAGATTAATTAATATGACATGTGCATACATGGACAACAAAATTTAATTTGGAATATACATAACACGGAGGCAGATTATAGAAAGAATTTCGTGTACATCCAAACTTTGAAACAAGAGATTTAGAAAGTACCATTTTCATTTGGAAGGGGCTGGCCTGCAAAAAATGGGTCGATCCTTCTGCTTAATCCTCCGTTTTGTCATCACTTGGTACTCCACCGATGGTTCATCAGGATTCTCCTTGGCCAAAATGGTGATGTACGATTTCACTTTAAATCCCCATGCCATGTTCACTCTAACCACTCTCTCAAGCGTCACATCGGTTCCCTGCCATTACCATTCAATCACCACTCAAGCCAAGTGCATTCCTGAAAAAAAAATGATAACAAAGAGTTAAACGGCTCGCACCAAACCAAAATCACGCATACCCATCTCAAATAACTTCAAAAAACTTAACCAATGTAGAATGCACATACATGGGCAACGAGATTTGGATCAGGCTTTAAACAAAAAGCAATTCAAATACTTGGAGGCACACTTATAGATACTTAGATAGAGTTTCATGTCTTTGTAATTACCACATGACTCTAACCACTTATGAAGTTCAAGACTTTCCACACATGGCAGGAATCAAAACATAGAAAGTATACATACCTTTTGACCTGGAGGGGGCTGGCCTGCAAAAAACAGGTTGATACCCTTCCATAACCCACCTCCGTCGCACTTTCACTTGGTACTCAACTGGTGGTTCACTGGGATCCCCCTTGGCCAGTATAGTTAAGTATATCTTAAATAAGGATCTGTTCATCCTAACCACCTTGTCAAATGTCACATCGGTTCCCTGTCAAACAATAAAAAGAAATTGACAATGATTGGCTGGGATGTTATATATTAATTATATGTATCATGCGCTTACATTGATCTGGTTGTACATCTGGATAGCCTCTTTTGCCAGATCTCCCATGTGTTGCCCCATGGTTTTGCCTGACTTTAAGACTTCGTCCAGGCTCTTATCAGAGCATGGGACGACTCCTCCGATTTGTCCATCCGGGATGTTTTCTCGGTCAATGTAGAAACCCTAACCAACCACGAGAACGACAGAAACCCGATAAGAGACAATGGGATGGCTCAACTTTAATTTGTACAAAACGATTCCAGATTACAGAACAATACCTTGTACTCAAGATACTGCCTCGTATATCTGCATGATTTCTGATAAGATTCGTCGTCGGAGTACAAGTAATTCCTAGGTGTTGTGTATTTGTGGCCGTCGAAGCTGTCGTACCCCCATTCCAATTCCCTGGAATCGTCGTCTTCGGAGTGCTCCGCCATGGCTTCTGCAGGAGGAGAAGATCCAGATACGGCAGATGAAGAACCTCCTTTCTCGATCACACCCTCTCCGCTGCGTTGGCTGCCACCGGATTCCTCCAGGCCTTGGGTCTCCGCCTTGCGCTTTCCCAAAGATGAACAAATAGCCTCTGCGGGAGCCTCCATCAAGTCATGTTCGGTCTCCATCGTCGTATCCGACTCAACTGATTTGGGGGAAATCGGCAGGAGAAAACCCTAGATGCACTTTTCGACCCGATTTAGAGCTTTTTGGAAAAATATTCAAATCTATTTGTTTTATTTATAACATGTGATTTGATTTGAGTTGTTTTCGAATCTGGATCGATCACTCTTTACCCTAAACCCATTTATTAGTTGAGCCAACCCTTCCTGGCATGGCATGAAAACTATTTGTTATTCAATATATCAGCAACCACTGACTTGTTCTGTTGCATCTTTTAATCCCAAAATATTATTTATTAGATCTGTAGACTGAATTTTAATATGTTAATTTATCTTTGTTTAGTTTATTGATGTTGTTAAAAAATAAAACTTGGTTCAAAATTTGGAATAAACGTCTAAACCCCAAAAGTAGCATCATCATTAGACCATGCTCCCATTATAGTTTTTAATGTTCACACCATCCATTTTTATTTATATTGCATATTTGTATTCTTCTTAATCGTGAAGTGTGTGTATGTATATAAATATATACACGTCACAATATATATATATATATATATATGACACGTAGCGTCGACTGTCTATTGTATTGCCGTTTGAGGCGCAAGGGTAAATGTGTAATTTTACAAGAGGCGGGAGAGCTCAAGACTCAAGTGACGAGCAACACGCATATTTTCACCGTCAATTGATTCAAAGCCAACATTTGAAAATTTTTCGCCCCTCTTCCTCCGCCTCCTCTTTCCGAAGCTTTCTACAGGAAAACCTTGTGGTAAGAAAATGGAAATACGCTATTATACATACACACATGTGACATGTGCCTATATGTTGTGCGCTTCTGTTCATGTTCATGTTGATAGAGATCAGCGTTGCGATCGATGTCAGTCCTCCTTCTGGTTCTCTGTTTCTGTTCCTCCGTATAGTCGATGGTTGATTCGGTGAATATACATATGCTTTCTTATTTCCTCTGCGAAAATGGAAGCTCGATCGATAGCTTAGGAGTGAAAAATTTAAAGAGGGAATTCTCTCTCTCCCTCTTTCTGGGCTCTCGTAGATTCTGTTCATGTAAAAGAAATTTTGTTGAACTGTTCTTGTAAATTTCACTCGCGGGATGGGAAAAAATCATCTACTGAAGGTGATTCTGTTGCAGAGATAGCGCGTGTAGTTTTCTTGTCCGTTAGTTTGTCTTCATTCGCCCAGTCAGCTTTGCATGCATATGCATTCATAAGTTTATTTTGTTTATGGTAAATATATGATTTCTCGATTTCAATTAGGCTTTTCTCCTGCTCGATATATGATAGTTAATTAAGGAAATCTTATGATGAGTGAGAAAATATACATATGATTTAACAAAAAAAAAGTTCATCGTTTTGAACTTAGCTGTGTCTTCCGTTTTCTGTACTTTTTCTGTTGTCCCCCAAAATGGAAGCTCGCAATTTACCGGAGCTTATAATCAAGGGTATCTCTCTCTCTCTCTCTCTTTCTGGACACGATCATCGCCCTAGTGACGAACACTATAGCGCTTGCATGTGTGTGTTTATATTCTGTATGTATCCATTTTTTTTCAAGATCATATCTTTTTAATTTTGTGTATACGGTAACTAAAATCTTGTTTTTATCATTGATACGTAGAAATGGATCAAGGAACAGGTATCGGAGTAGGTAAACCAAAAAGACCCAAGGGTCGGAACCAAATCAAGCAGACACACAAAGCAGATAAAGAACGAATTGGAGTTGAACAAACTAGCAATGGAGAGCACGATTTCACTCATATCCAAAATGGGGTAAAATTATGATATATATATATATATATATATATAACGTGTATATTTTTTGCATTTTGATTTTGATATATATATATTTATATAGGAATTTGGTGATAACTCGAAACTTACAAGAGATTGGAGAAAAATATGTGGACTTCTAGACGTTGCTGTTGAGGAACAAGAAGGAGGTACGTTTGCTACAAAATAATTAGAATTCTAATAAATTTAGTTTTTTAACTAATTATTCTGGTGCAGATACATGCTGGGCTGTAGTATTATCCCTACTCCTAGAAGCCTTGGTGAATAAAGGAAAATCACCACAGCTACGTTTGAGGTTCGACACCAAGCAATTCATTGAGGACTGTAGAGCTAAAGATAGTGATAGGATTGGCCGTATAAGAACGGGCGCAAAGTATATCCGCGCAACGGGGTTACCTAAAAAAGACGTGAGGTCTGGGGCGGTAAGTATATCTAATTTTATATGTTAATTAATGTATTGGTATAATGTCTGTTATTTTTAATTTTCAGTCAAAGCACATGGTGAAGAGGCATCGCCGTCGAAGCTGTCGTACCCCCATTCCAATTCCCTGGAATCGTCGTCTTCGGAGTGCTCCGCCATGGCTTCTGCAGGAGGAGAAGATCCCGATACGGCCGGT